CTCTCATGGCAGTTCAAGCCACTTTTCGGGACGCTTCTTCTGGGTTTCCTTTGGCCAGTCATCTTGCTCTGCCTGTTTCTGAGTCCGTATTTGGTGTATTTCAGGGCCCTCCATGTGTGCACACATGTCTCTTAGCAAGATGGATTCTAGCGAAGAGGCCCATGGGTAGCTGATACCACTTACTGTGGGGTGGCACCTCCTCCCTTTCTGACCTCCAGAGAGCTTTTCTGCTTGTATGTAGTCTGGGAGGTCTCCTTAACTTCAGGAATAAGGAATCTGCAGTCTTTTATCTCTTGTCTGGGCAAGGCCCGCCTTGTTTCCCCCTCTATTTTGCAGCATCTGAGCGCCGGGGAGAACCTGTTCCGCTTGGGGCTTATCCATCACCCGCCTCAGAACCAACCAGCCGCAGCAGTGAGGCAGCCCCGGTGCCTTTCAGAGCAGCTACCACCACCACACGTGTAGCCTCTAGTCAGCCCTACTTCCTTCTTTCCCTGTATTTACATTCTTCTTTGCAACTCCAGAAATTCATGGGTGGAATGAAGTTTTGAGTCAGTGTCTTTCAAGATTCTGACGTCCAACCTCCAGCTGGGTCCTTCTGGACACTAGGCAATGTATCTATTAGATGCTTTCGCTCTGTCTTTGACCGAGGGAATACCCTTGTGGGGCTGGCCCCAGCAGTCGCCTAAGCAGGGGCCTTGTGTCTGGGCCTACCCCCTTGGAAATTCAGCTGGGTATTCTCCACAGCTGTCAAAAAACCACTACAATATTGTAAACCAATTAGCCTCCAATTAAAATAAATAAATTATTTTTTTAAGTTATTCTCAATAGAGTGCAGTTGCAATTGTTCCAGAGCTACAACCAAGTTAGAGTGAAGCAGCGTGAGAACATACACACAAACACACACACACACACACTTCATACATACCCACATTCACACCAACTCCATTTCCGTGATGGAAGAGCTAAGCTGAATGCCCATACTTCTCATTGCTTTTTGCTGGTGGTGGAGACCTGGCCTGGGAAGACTTCTTATTGGAGCTGCTGCACTCTGTCCCTGTCCACAGGATAGCAGAGTGACTCTGAGGTCCTAGGGGATCTGGGAACCACAATCACAACCACAATCCTAAGGGATGTGGGAAACTTTTATTGCTTTATTGCTTTTTGTCTTGTGACAGGAATCTCCAAACATGTGCTCAAGCAGAGATTACAATACAATAAATCCCTGTGCACCCCAACTCAATTTTTACAACACAGCCACACATGGCCAGGCCTGTTTTATCTTGCACCACCAGGCACTCCTCTCCCCAGCCCCACATACCTGGGTTATTTTGAAGCAAATTCTTAGCATCATATTATAAATCATCACATCAAAAATTTATCCATAAACCCTTCTAATATAGGTATCCCCTGCTTTTCAAAAGTTCACTTTATACCACTTAGATTTTATGAAAGACCTACATTAGTATCTGGGCTTCCCAGGTGGTGCTAGTGGTAAAGAACCTGCTTGCCAATGCAAGAGATGTAAGAGATGAGGGTTCAATCTATGTGTCAGGAAGATCCCCTGAAGGAGGGCATGACAACCCACTCTGGTACTCTTGCCTGGAGAATTCCATCAACAGAGGAGCCTGGCAGACAACAGTCTGTAGGGTTGCACTGAGTTGGACATGACTGAAGTAACTTAGCATGCAGGTACGCACACACCGAAAAAGTTCATGGCTGCTCATATATGCACACACTTATTTTGGTTTTGTTTTTAGTCTTTTTTGCATATATATATATATATATATATATATATATATATATATAATGAAATTATTGCTTTCAGAGTGAATTGAGAATAATCCGATCCAAATAAACCAAAAGCAGAGTAAGAAATTTCTTGCCTGGGAAATCCCGTGGACGGAGGAGCCTGGCAGGCTACAGTCCACGGGGTCACAAAGAGTTGGACACGACTGAATGACTTCACTATAGGCTTCCCTGATAGCTCAGTTGGTAAAGAATGCACCTGCAATGCAGGAGACCCTGGTTCGATTCCTGGGTTGGGAAGATATCCTGGAGAAGCAAAAGGGTACCCACTCCAGTATTCTGGCCTGGAGAATTCCATGGACTGTATGGGGTCGCAAAGAGTCTGACACGACTGAGCGCCTTTCACTTCACTTCACTTAGCATAATAAAGGGGTTAACAACACAAGCTCTGTGGAGGCAGGAGCCAATGTTTAGAGAACACCCCCGCAGTCTCTCTCCTCAAGGATGATTTCTACGCTGGTGTGTCCGCCTGGGATCTGTGGTTCCAGGAGCCTGAGTGGCGGAGCTGAGTGTGAAAGCGATGCTTCAGTCACATCTTAGGAAGTGAAAGCGCCCTCACCCGGTTCTGTTCTGAGCACTCTGGCCCCTCGAGGCAGAAGCGATGCTTTTAGCCAGCGTGGACCCGACTCCTGCTGCCTGTGTAAACCTGCCTAGCCCGGATAGCTGCTTTGGTTTTTCCACAACTGACTTTGGCTCCTTGTGACCTTCACCTCTGAAATCCAGGACCCTGCTCCATGTCTGGCACTAGGTCACCACCTCTCAGGAACGGCTGAGAGCTCTGGCCAAGCTTCACCGTGCCAGGGAAGGATGCTGCATTCATTTTCTAGTGCTACCACAGCCGGGCACCACAACGTGAGTGGCCTAAGGCACAGGCGTCCATTGCCTCACAGTTCTGGAGACTAAAAACCAAGACGGATGGTGTCAGCAAGGCCACACTCCTCCTTGGAATCACGGGGAGCAATCTTTGCTCACCTGAGCCAGCTTGTGGTGGCGGCTGGAATCCTCACCATCCTTGGCTTGCAGCTGTGTTGCTCCAGGGTCTGCCTCCCTCATCACCTGCTGTCCCCGTGGTCTCTGTGTCCCTTCCTTCTTATAAGGACACCAGCCATACCAGATGAAGGGCCCACCCTACCCTACTATGACCTCACCTCAATTTTAATTGCCCTTTCAATGACCCTGTTTCCAAATAGGGTCATTCTGAGGCATAGGGCTTCAGACTCCAACCTATCTTTCAGGGGAACAAAATTCAAGCCAGAGAAAATGCTCTGATAACTAACCGCTCTTAGAAGGACCCCTAAAGTCCTTTTAGGAGTTTTTGGTGTTTTATTCTTCTTTTCTTTTCTTTCTCTTCTTTCCCTCATGAAAAATCTGTAAATTAGGCAGAGCAGGTTTTCTTACCTCGCTTTGTTAATGGGGAAATTGGAGTATAAAACAATGACATGATTTGTCAAAAATAGAGATAAAAGGAGGATGCATGTCTCACAGCTCCTCACCCACGGCTTCTGATTCATACTCCTCCCCCGCTCAGCAGTTCAGGATATGTCAAAGGTAAGGATGAAAGGTCGATTCCAGCCAGTCTCCCTAACAACGTTTTCTTGTTAAAATAAAAATATGTAAGCTGCTGAAAGATTAGTGGTTGCTGACTCCCCCAAAGAATCCAAACACCTTCCTCCTTCCTGCTCCTACATGGAGATAAGATCCTGCCAAGAGGATTCCAGGGAACCGCTTCTGTTTGTGGGGGGAGAGGAGGCATCACTTCCTTTGAGGCATCGTCCTCCTCCTGTTCTAAGTCCTATAGCCTCTCCTGGGGGTCCAGAGTTCCCATCATCACCTCCGACATGATAGGAAGAACACAGGCCTCAAGTCACCGCTGTCAGAGCCTCTCACTTGGGAATGGGAATCTTGAGTGGGACCGCACAGGGTGGCACTGAGTCGTGCGTGGCAGGCACTCAGAGGCAGCTCCCGAGTCCTCAGTGATGAGGTCGTCAGGGCTTCTCTGCTTCTGTCCTTCCTGCTGTGTCTACTGTTCTCAGCTAAAGAGCTCTGGCATGTGCATATCCCCATGGAAGGGAGGCTGGGATGACTGTCCTGTGTGGTCATCGTGGCCTCAGGAGCATGGCTCAGTGACTTTGGCTAGGGAGCTCTTAAAAGAACTTGTGCATATGAGAGGAGGTGTGCAAGAGCTCAGCCAACATCCACACAGAGCTGGAGTGTGCGGAAGACATCAGGGTTTAGAGCCACATGGCCAGGCCGCAGGAGTGCTCCACTCCTCAGCTTCAGCATCTGCCCTCGTCTTCTCCACATTTGCTAGGTTATGACATAACGCGTTTCTTGCACAGAGAACCCCCCCAAATCAAAGTGTACTCCTCATTCGTGGAGGGGCCAGTTGAAAACACAACGTGTCAAAAGCCTGGGCCCCATGTGCTTGGGGTTCCCGCGCCCCCTTGGACCTCAGTTATTCCACTATCCTGCGGACAGGGAGGGAGTGCAGCAGCTCTGCCCGGAAGTCTTCCCAGGCCAGATTTGGAAGAGACCCCGGTACCAGCGGGACCCTTCTCTACGTTTATTTGAACTGAACTCTACAGGAGCAGGCGCTCTGTCTTGTTCATCCTTCTGTCCATTGGCTAAAATGTGGTCCACGGCCACACCTGTCCACAGGCGCCGGGAATGGCAGGGAGCTGTGGCCTGGCGGTGTACGGTCGTCTCTGCCTCACCAGGCCTCTTGCGAGGATCCCTTCTTTTCTCCTGCTTCTTAAATGTGAGTGTGTCTCGCGTCTGCCTCAGCTTCTTCTCTCTGTCCTTTTCCCACCACTCTGGGATGGGGCGTCTCTGCTGGGTATGGCCTGTGGAGACAACCCACGAGTCGACAAACAATCTCTAAACATCTGACTTTTTCAAATAGCTCCTGTATCTTTGTTTCTCATCCTGCACTAGTCTGGAAATACAATTCTTTCATTTGCCCGGCAAATACTTACGGAGCCCTACCTTAGGCCTGTTTCCCTAAGGGGAAATTTTTTTGAAATGCCTGAGTCAGAAGCTTATATTTAACTTTTTATTGGGAAGTTCAATTCCAAGGAAGCAAAAAAGGGGGAAAGGGAAGTGAGGAAGACAGAGAAGGGGAATAGATACAAGGAGGCGAGCTCAGAATGGACCATTGGCAGGATGGTGTAAGGGCTGTGAGTGAGGTAGGACTCCTATCTGCCAGCATCTTTCTTCTCCTGGATCTGTTGCTCAGAGCCTTTCTTGGGGGATTTGGTCCCCACACATTCGACTTGTAATCCTGGCCTCTCCAGGGAAGTCCAGGGAGCCAGGGCTCCTGCAACCCCCCAGTCTGGGAAGAGGCCCAGCGCGTTGTCCTTGGCCAGCATCCTGCCCGCAGGCTCCTTGACCCCGGAGGTCGTGTTCACAGGTCTGAGACCAGGGAACCGGCAGGAGTGCTCCTCAGTGCTGCTCTGGCCAGAAGCAAGATGGGGAGCGGTGGGGAGGCAGGCCTAGCCCAGAGCGAGTGCCGGGCACTGTCACTGCGGCCTAGCACAGAAGCATGCACCAGACAGGGAGAGCCTGCCCTCGCGGAGCCTAACTGGGGTCAGAAGACGTCCGGCTGACAGGAGCCCCATATCCCCCTGCCAAACGCATTGTCTCCCCGCAAGGTGAGCGGCATCACACCCTGACCCCCCGGGTCTGCAGAGCTGCGGCTGTTCCCCCGCCCCTCACGCTCCCCCTCAACCCCGAGCAGGCCTCAGGTTCAGTCAGCATTCGTGAGTGCCCTTCCGTGCTGGAAGTGAGGGCAGGCAGGGTCTTGCTCCCCGCCAAACATGAGGCACGCAGCCACACCCGGCCGCGGTAGGGTCTGCTGGGCGGGTGATGGCGCCAGGCCGCGGTTTAACCTCCACGACGGCCCCGGCGGGTCTGTCACAGATCGCTCCCGCCACTTGCTCCCTTGTGCCCCGTCACTGCCTTTCACCAGGACTCTTTCCAGAGCATCCCAACGATCTGACCTGGTCCTCCTCCTCCCAGACACATTTCGGAAGCCCAGCTCAAACCACATTTTGCCCCTGCTCCAGACTTCCCAGCGTCTCCTCGCGGCTCACCTCAAACACAGGCTCCGGTCTCCGGGGCTCTGGAGGGCCTGGCCTCCATCTCACCTCCTCCCTCCACTCCCGTGTCCTCTACCCTGGACCAAACAGGGCCATCTCATTACTTCAGCTTCATAGTTTTACTCCCAAGATTCTTTCTTCCCTGTTCACCAAAGGAGCACAGTCCCCAGAAGGACCCCTTTTCAACAGGTGTTGACACTGTAGCCATGAAGTACCAGACCCAGTGCCGCAGACGTCCAGGTTGGCGTCTCAGCCCTGTGGGGTGCGCCCCGTGAGATGGCCGGCCCTGACAGGCGCCTTTTTTGTGCCATCTCCCTTCTGCCAAGCAGATCAGCCTCTCCTCTTGAAACCGAGGGGGGCCCTGTGGGGCTTCCAGCACAGAGGCCCTTTCCCGCTCATTTCTTATAGGCAAGACTCCAGCCTCCGTGACTTTCCCTGAGGTCCAAAGGGCAGCTGTGAACAGTCGCTAACCAAGGGAGGAGACACCAAGACCCACCGGAGGCCAAGATTAAAGGGCCCAGAGGATCAGGAGACTCTGCACACACCCTCACCTCGTCAGCAAGCCCACTCCTGGGAAGGACAGTTACGAAGCTTTTCATCCAGTCCTCCTGGGGGGGACACTTACTTTTTCAAGGAGGGAATCTACTGTGTCACCCTTTGCCTGGCAAAGTAATAAAGCTATCCTTTGCTCCTTCACCTGAAAACTCTGACTCTGAGACTCCACTCAGCACCAGTGTGCAGAGAAGCTTTCAGCGTCACTCTCCCTGCCTCCCAGGGCCCACGCCATGCCCCCACCAAGACCACTTCTCATAGTGAAACTCACTCCCTGTCCACATGTCATGCATCCGCACATGTTCCCAAGGCTATGCATCCTCCAGTGAAAATCCTTCCTCTCCACAAAGCTTTCCTGTTTGAGATCCTTTAAATCCCCACAACCCTTCAGCTGTGTTCCTTATACCATGATGTGCACCATGTCTTATTCCCACTGATAAAATGCAAGTATCCATTTTGTGTTCCCACGAAGGGTCTGACTGTTGAATGAATGCATGCAAGAGAAAGAAAAGAAGGAAATTCAGTGAACACATAGTCAGGGCCTCCCCCACAGAGCAGAGGCTGAACGCCATTTCCCAGTGGAGCACATGTCAGAGGGAGAGAGGGGAAGCTGCTGACTTTTGATCCATGTGGCCAGAGGAAGCAGAGACTAGAGCCCAAAGGTGCTTGGTGACTTGGCTTCCGAAGGCGTTAAGGGCAGTTCTGCAAACGCCTCCTAAAAGCTTAAGTTTCAGTCTCACGTTCAGAACCAGCTGAGGACAGTCCACTTCCCCTACTCACAAGCGCCCACAGCAGCCAGGAGGCCCGTGATCACTTCTACATGCTCTCTAAAGAGGCTCCAATGCACTTCTATAACTTTACAGATACCTGTCTTCCTCTCCCCCAACACACATATGTCATTTAAAACCAGGTCTCAGAGAAGGAGATGAATGGGGTGTGGGGGATTCCAAAGGGCACCCATTTAAAACCAAATTGGCTGTCAGAAACCAGTGGTTGTCCTGAGGGTGAACTGATACACCCTTTCAGTTCAAGTAGACCAAGAGGAATTTGCGCTGGAATTTTTCCAACTTTAATGTATGCTGTCCAATTATTACACTTCATGGAAATCACTGCACCCTCCCTCCAGGCATGTTTGCCAGTGAAACAAAGAAATGAGTTTCAGCTAGAGCTTTTGTTCCACCAAACACTCCTTTTCAGGCCCTGTATCTGTCACTACATGTGGCCAAGTGTGGGTTCAAGGATATTAAGTCCACCCTTAAGAAACGTATAGTCTAGCTGACCAAACAGGCCTAGACAGTAAGCATGATGAAGTGGTGTTGGAGACTCAGACTGGACAAAAAAGAACCTTCCAACAATGAGGATTATTAAACAAAGGATGGACCTCATGAGGAGGGAAAAATCCCAGCTCAGGAGGAATGCGGGAATGGGGGGACGTGTACATCCCCAGTGTATAAATGTATTATAAGCCTTAGAGGGGTTCCTTGGGATCTAGTGACCCACCTCATTTGCAAGTGTCTAAACTCACTTTATTCCCCTTTAATCTGCCAACCGTAGTTGCCAAGGCATAGTTACAGGCAGCTCAGATGACCCCCATAATGACGATGCGAACGGGACTCAAGGGTGACAGGAACAGAGCAAATAGAGTAGGTGACTGAGTAGTTAATCCCACTAGGGAGTTTTCAGTGGAAACATACTGGAGACCGCTATAAGTTAATGCTTGCTCAGGAAAGCAGGCTTGCTTAACCACAAAACCAAGCAGGCTTGCTTAGCAACAAAACCACGCAACAGAAGCATGTGACACGCCCCAAACAGTGAAACAACGGTGGCATGAGACCCATGCACCGCCCAGCGAGCTCGGTGCATTAATGAGCCCTAGGACATGCTCTCTGCACACATCAAAAAACAGTAATTGTGGACCTAGCTTGACCACGTAGGGATGAGAAAACTCCCCTGCTCAACCTGGAGGAGGAATTGGTGATGGAAGCATGATGTCTACTCAAGAAATACAAAGACATTCTCCTGCTCCCTACTTTCCTTTGATTATAAAGCTGTAGCCCACTAAGTTCTCGGGCGCGGCATTTCTCACCAGCCACCTGTAAGCCTCACCAGCATCCTATTCTAAATGAATCACTTCTCATCTTTCGCTTTGCTGTCACTGAACTCTTCTCTGCACTGGGACATAAAGGACTATCGCACAAGCTCTTCGGAGGCCCCAGAAATGACACCTAATGGCTTCAAGGGCACAAAACCTTTCTGTGTCCTTCATTTCCTTGATTATAGGAAATAGCCTTCATTCAGCCTTCCCTGAGCGCCAATGTGCAGTTTCAAGGAGTTGTTAGTTAGGGAAGGGAGGGGATGCAAGACAAGGGAGAAGCAATGCAGCCCAGCCTTGAGGCAAGGTCCTGTCTCCCATCAACGGATACACACACTATCTCTGAGCCATTCTGCAGATACTGAAACCCCCTCCAGGTGAGAGAAGTTAAGGACTATCAATGGTATGCCGCCCGCCCGCAGGCTTGCAGACCCCAGACCAGTTGGACCTGAAGGATGACAGTACTGACTTCTACTTACCTCATCCAAGAATGTCCACGAGCTGATCATACCTTCTTTGAACAATTACTATAAAACCTCTCACCACCTTCTTAGGTTGGGACTCACAATTTTGAGGACATTAGCCCGCTGTGGCTCCCCTTTACCTGGCAAAATAATAAAGCGATCCTTTTCTGCTTCACCCCAAAGTCTGTCTCTGGGTTTTGATTTGGCATTGGTGTACAGGGAAGTTGAGCTTTAGGAAACACTAACATTTTAACTCACTGTAGGTTCCTAAGAACTTCAGGTTGGGTCACACGCCCTTACCCAAGAAGCCCGGGGAGATGTCAGGACTTGCCTCCCATTTCACGAGTCTGGTTCTCTGTGTGTGTGTGTGTGTGTGTGTGTGTGTGTTGAGGGTGGGGGGTTGGTGGAGAGGGAGGTATTGATGGGTTGGTATGTATGTGCAGCGTTAAGAGTGAGGAGGGCAACGTGTGGGGACCAGAACCTCTCCCTAGCAGGCTGACGGCAGGACACATGTGAGTCTGATAATTCAACCAACAAAAGGGCAGCTTTACTGGCTGGCTTCCAGCAGCAGATGCAGAAGTTCCTAAAAACAGCCAGAGGCTTTTTATGGTAACAGACCCTCCAGACTCAGACCCTCACGCCTCTCCTGCCTTACCCCTGCCATCCACCCCGCCCGCCCTGCCCTGCCCCAGGGCCCAACGTCTCAGTAAACTCAGTTCTCAGGGGCCCCAGATCCAGTCTGCTGGGAGCCCAGCTTTCCATCCCCACCCACTCCACCCACACGGCTGAGGTCACACCGGCCCAGCCTCTTTTGCAACTTTCCCAAGTTTGTGCATAAAGAGAGAGGAGGAAAACTCAGAAGGAAGTGACTTGGCTTCAACAAGTTTGCTCCCAAAGCCTTTTTCCTCTGATCTAGCTGAGACTGCTGTTCTAAGAGGAGCCCCCCAGACTCAGAGAAAACCCCCCACCTGCCATCGGAGGCTGAAAAGGCTCTGGAAGATTTTCCTGGCTCTTGTCTGTTCCAGCAACACCAGAGGTATTTGGGTTCGGGGGTGTGGGGAGGAGTGGAGGATAGGGAGGCTTTGAATCTGGCAGCTGCGGAGCATAGATCCAGCCCAGAGACCCTCTCCACGCTTCAGCAGCTCCCAGGGGGTGGCAGGAAGCCAAGACAGAAAGGACTCTTTGCCCAGCCCAGGGAGCCGGGGCCCGGCTCGGGGCTCTGCATGGCCGCAGGTGGGGGCAGGACGGTGCGGCTGGACACACAGTCAGAGGAGGGCAGAGAGGGAGCCGGGCGGGGCTGGGTCCTGCATCACCCCGTCACACTGACAGGGCACCTTCCGACATGGAACCGGGTCAACCCAAGGGTCTCATAGGGGAACGGGAAACTCCTGGTGTAGGAAAGCGTCCCTCTTGTTCTAAATCATAAATATTCCTCAGCATAGCTCTGCAGGGCTCGGGGAGTCAATGAACAGAGTTGAACAGACTCAGAGCTTAGCCTTGGCTCACCACAAGCTAGTTGTTCTCAACTCTGGAGTCCACTGGGCTATAATGGCATTTTGTTAACTGCAAAGTGTCATATAATTGCTAGGCATTGTATATTAATAAAAGTAATTGCTTTGGACTGGCTGATCCATTCCCCACCACAAAGTGCTGCGGAGATAGTGATTGATCTATATCTTCAACCTCCATAGTACTGATGTGTGGTAGGCATGCAGTACATATCCTGAAGGATGGATGGGTGGATGGATGGGGGTGGATAGATGACTGTTTATTGAAGACTCAATATTCCTGGCATGCGTCAGCCTCTTTAGGGGGATTGAAAGGTGTGAGGCATTGTCCTGCCCTCTAGGCACTGACAGTCTACTTGGGGAGATAGGACAAATACCCCCAAAGAACTTAAAGAGCAGGAGTGCTGAGCCTCCTGAAACCAAGACTGGGGGTATACCTCCCCGAGGGAACGGGTCTAAACCTGCTAGGATTTGGGTGGGTGAGGCAGACTTGCAAGGCTTCCTGAGAGGCAATAAAGACGTGTGCTCTCTTGATAGCCTCTTTTCAAAGACAAACTTGCTCCCAAAGACAAAGCTGCTCCCAAACTTGTAAACCCCATTTATGTGTTGGGGTGGATACCTCTGTGATTTGCCAAGGCGTGGGAGCAGAGAGGGCAGGCAGCGCCATGGAGTAGGAGGAGGGGGCAGGCTTTGCCAGCTTCTGAACGCCCGTCTGCCCGGCTCACTGCCTCTCATCCCTCCTCCCTGTCCGCAGCAGTGACCCTCACCCAACACCAAGGAGGCAGAAGCTTGTGTCTGGGTCCCGGTTGGGGCCAGAAGGGCAGAGAGAGAAGGAAAGTGGGCAGGTAAAAGCAGTGCAGGTCCAAGAGTTCTTAGGAGACTGGCTTAAAAAAACATGTGCGGAGGGATGTGCGCTGGGGAGGTATCAGCTCTGTCTTTCTTACTCTCTGGGCAATGAGTTACACTGCAGCTTTAGCAGATGGGCAAGGCTGAGTCCTGCCAAGCAAGAGAACAGTCCCTGGCAGACTCTGCTCTGTGTGGGCTGGGCTGGCTGAACAGGGGCCCTGCTTTCCAGACCTGCTTTTCTCTGTTATTTAACAGTGGAGGCTGATGACTCAGTCTGGCCTCTAGGAGGATGCACTGGTTTAAAGCATCTGAGTCAGGGTTGGGAGGGAGAAAGCTTTTGACAGTCACTGCCAAAGCCTAGCCAAAGGCAGAACCCGGAGGATATGGGAAGAGCCTTCAGCACATGCTTCCCTGGTGAGCCCAGCCAGTGTCTACCCACAAGCCACCTTCTGTCACCATTGATGCCATCCTGGTCACCCTCCTACTGCTAGTTATCCTGGGGCCAGTGACCAAGCTGTTTTATTTTATTTTTCAAATAGAAGGACTCACACATTTACTACTGAACCACCCTACCAATGCATAAGCATAGAAACAAAGAGAAAAAACATTTTTTCCCCAGTAGAATGTGCCCAGCTGTCCAGACAGTGGTGATGTTTTCAGCTACATGTGATAAATAGCAGTGACCTTTATACAGTATCAACACGGGACCCTCTCACGTGGCATTCCTTACAGACCTAGCTGGGTTCTTCTCCGAGGTCTCTTGGAGTTGTACCTGGTCTTGTTACCAGCTGTCGTGTGAACCCACTGGGAGAATGGGATATTTCTTCTGCTTCTGTTTCTTGGCCAGGAATTGCTTGATCCTGAAAGTCTTGGGAGAAGGCACAGTGAGGAACGGGGTCAGCCACACACACACGGATGGTGGAGCAGCGGGGGCGGCATGCTGTTGTAAACAGCTGCTGCAGCAAATCCCTGCCGTTCCGGGGTGGGGTGGGGGGTGGAACCATCTGGCAGCACACTTTGAGGGCACATTAGGGGAAGGACCAGGTGGTGGCAGGTGAGGGAGCTCAGAGGAGAAGCTGAGGTGAGCTAGAATCTGGAGAAGAAAAGACTCAAGTAAAACTCCAACCCTATGAATCTCTGGAGGGCTGCCATGGAACAGAGAAGCTGGGCCTTCTTTCTGTGGCTTCTGGGGGACATCCACCCCTCATGGAGGGAAGCTCTTTGGGGGAAGGTCTGGCTCCATCTCTCCATGAATATAGTGGAGGTGTGGGAGGTTGGACCAGGTGAACTTTGGGGTCCTTCTCTGGTGTACTGGAGCAGATCCACAACAGTCACTTGAAATCAGCCATGGTGGGAGTCTTTACACCGCAGAAAGCAGCAGGCACTGCGAATCAGGTCTCTGTCCCCCACCACGGTGAACCATTTACCTGGGTCTTTTCAGTTTACTGTAAGAACATAACACACCTGCTACCCTGCAGAGACAGCCTCAGCCATGAGGGATGTGCCCACAAGGGAACAGGCTCCCCAAGTTAAGAAACTCTCCCAAGGTCACAAGCATATGGAGGTGGGATGAAAATCCTGGCTCTGAAATTCATGATCATGCCATGGTCCCCGGAGGCCTCTCTCCTGCCCCAGACACAAATGTGACTGTCCTCTCAGATGACTTTGGGCTGCCATCCACCCATCCACCTGCTCTTTTTTAAGGAATGTTATCTTTATTGAATATTTTTAATCACAATAACTTAGACTTGTGTAACAAATTTTAACAAGATGTATATAAAATTAAACAATAGCTCCTAGCTTTAATCTACCTTTCCCAACCTATTAATCATTCAGCATGTATCTATCCATAGCTTTCTGTGTATTTCAAAGAAAGAGAGTGAAATAGCTCAGTTGTGTCTGACTCTTTGCGTCCCCATGGACTGTAGCCTACCAGGCTCCTCTGGCCATGGGATTTTCCAGGCAAGAATACTGGAGTAGGTTGCCATTTCCTTTCTCCAAGGGATCTTCCCAACCCAGGGATCGAACCCAGGTCTCCCGCATTGTGGGCAGACGCCTCACCATCTGAGTCACCTGGGAAGCCCCAAATTGGACCCTGAGGGCAGTCCCCATAATTGACTTAAGAGCATGGTTGACTAACACTGGAGCCACTATAATTCAGCATTTCTGTGGAGAATTTCTCCAGGCAAGAATACTGGAGTGGGTTGCCATTTCTTTCTCCAGGGGATCTTCCCAACACAGGGATTGAACCTAGTTCTCCTGCATTGCAGGCAGATTCTTTACCGACTAAGCTATGAGGGAAGCCTCTGTGTATTGCAGGACAAGGAAGTTTGTGTGTGTTTAAGCATAAATACAATATTAAACACATGATCACATACTTAGGGCTGCTGTTTGTTTTTATACAACTGAGATGAAACTATGCAAAATGTTCAGTGATTTTATTTTACTTAAATCATCATCTTTTTCCACTTCATTAATTGACTCCTTTGAAAACTGCCTAGTATTCCAGTGTATGAATGGTCATAATTTATGCCACAGTCTCTTACTGATGGGCATTTAGGTTACAGTGTTCTTTAGCAATCATTTTTACAAAAATGTGTATTTGAGCATATGTGTATTTCTGTTGGATACACTTCTCGAATTAGAATCTAGGGTATGTTCCTATTAAATGTTGTTACTGTCAAATTGCCCTTCAAAAAAGATGGTGCCAATTCATAGTATATCAGCAATAAATGAGAGTTTTTCCCACCCATTTGTCAACACCAATTATTTTTTTACTGTTAGTTTTTTTTAATTTGTTTATTTTTTAATTGAAGGAGAAGTGCTTTACAGAATTTTGTTGTTTTCTGTCAAACCTCAACATGAATCAGCCATAGGTATACAAATGTCCCCTTCCTCTTAAACCTCCCTCCCATCTCCTTCCCCATCCCACCCTTCTAGGTTGGTTCAGAGCCCCTGTTTGAGTTTCCTGAGCCAAACAACAAATTCCTATTGGCTCTCTATTTCACATATGGTAATGTAAGTTTCCATGTGACTCTTCCCATACATCTTACCCTCTCCTCCCCTCTCTCCATGTTATTATCAATCTTTTTTTATTATTTACTTAGTTAGCTATTTGGCTATGCCAGGTGTTAGCTGTGGCATGCAGGATCTTTGCTGCATAATGCAGGAACCTTCATTGCAGGTACTGACTCTCCAGTTTTGGTGAGCAGGTTCAGTAGTTGTGGCATACAGGCTTAGTTGTTCCATGGTGTGTGGGATCTTAGTTCCCTGAACAGGAGTCGAACCCACATCCCCTGCATTGCAAGGCAGATTCTTAACCACTGGACCACCAGGGAAGTTCCTATCATCAATCTTCTTAATTTTTGCTGTTCTGGTGGGTGAAAAAAGTAGTATTTTTTAACTTTGCATATACTTAAAAAGTGGTAGGTTTGAGTACCGCTCAAAACTTACTACTTATCATTTATAAGACCCCTGCGGGTTACTTACTCTTTGCTCACTTTCATGTTCTGTGTTGTCTTTGATTGTCGTCTGTAGAGTCTTTACACAGAGTGGATATTGATCTTTTGTTATACACAAACGCTTTCTACCTCCCCAGCTCTGCTGCACCATGTCAATCCCAAACCGTCCAGCCCCCAAGACTCTGCCAGGGGCACCAAGAGGATGTGTGGTCCTCAGTGCAGATTCACAGAAGGCAGGATGTAGGACTTAGCAGTTAAGAGTGTGCTCTCTGGAGTCAGGCCTGGATTCAAATCTCAGCGACTATTAACGTGGGCTCTGCCACTCACAGACTGCTTCTTGGGGTGAACTACATACCTGGCTTCTCTAAACACCTGCTTCTTCAGTGGTAAAACAGAGACAATAGTAGCATCAATCCCCCAGGCTATTTTTGGGTACTAGTAATAGCCATCAGATAGCTCACATTTCGTGAGCCCTTAATTTCTGCCATAAATGCATTGTAATAATGTATTATGTGTGTTGTTAACCTCACGATGATATGCACATTATTTGCCTATTCACACAGCGCTCCACACAGCACCAAAGTAAACCTTAGCCTAGGGTGCGTGCTGATGGCTCTGCCTGGTGACGCCTCACTCCTCTGCTTCAGGATGCTCAGGGACCCCTGGTCAGTCTGCACGCGGGAGCCCCTCTCCAGCAGTCCGTTCCCTCAGCTTCTGCTGCGCCTGTTGTCGTTTAGGCTGCCTTTCTCTCGGTCCCCTACAGCCCTACCAGGATTTGGTTGGAGTTTACCAGACCTGAGTAGAATAGTCTAGATCCAGTGCACACAGATTCTACAGATTCGGACTCAGGAGGTCAGGGGGCAACACGTGCAGAGCAGCGTGTGTGGCCTTAGACGTGCTACGAGGGACTTGGCTTCTCTTAATCCCCTTGTGCTCATCTCGGAGCTCAGGACCCTCTAAGTCCTACGGAGCAACCCTGTGGACGCTCAGCCAGTGCTGGCCCCCTTCCCGCTCCGCTGGCCCGCTGTTTTCTGACTCCCCAGGGCTCTGTACTGGCTTTTGAGGCTAAGCTAGCAGGTTACACCAATGCCTTTAGGCAGGAGCCCACCCTCGCTCCCTTTCCTGGGTGGTGACTGATGCTCAGAGACACGTGTCCTCAGGAGCTTCTGAGTCACTTATCCCGCAGCTGGTTTCCTGGTGGGTAGTGACCCCATTACAACACACCAGCCCTGGCCAATACCTGACTTCTCTTCCTCTGCCTGTCTGAAGTCTGGGAAACAAATGAGTAAATAAACTGTTGACAAGATTCTTGGCCTGATAGTCGTGACCCTTCTTAACCTTGCTTCCTTCCTAAGCTTTTCTCCCTCCACACTCTCACCTCACCCTTCCTGAGGAAAACCATCCACGTCCTCCACTCACCTATCCCCCGAGCCTGATTATTTCATTCTCTCCTCTTGAAATATTCCCCCAAGCTCATGTGTCATTTCTGCAGGGCCCAGGCGGATTGCCGGCCACCACACACACACACACACACACACCCTGACAGCACTTTCTCCAGGCTTCCGTCAGAACACTTTCCACTCTCTCTCTGCTGTAATCGCTCACCCCTGTCCTGCCTCTCCTGACGACTCCCTGCAGGCGTCTCCCACTTGCTTTGTCTTTTGCTCCTCCCAGTGTCCAGGGCAAGTCTGCATGGTCCAGCCACTTACACCCCCAACAGATGAAGCTTTTTCCAACTAGACGGGTCCCTGGGTCCCAGATGGCTCATTCCGCAGCCGGAAAGCCAGGACTCAGAGAGGAAGTAACCGGCCCCAGCAGCAAAGTGAGGACTAGAACGAAAACCTCAGGATGTCCAGTGGAGAGCTCTCCCCCTGTACCAGGGAAGCTCAAGTTGGCCAACTTTTGATACCTCAACCAGGCAAAGTCAGATCAAGGTTAACTCACATACATCTGGTGCATTGAGATTAGAAGACCCAGGAGTTGGGAATAGTATATATATATGTGTGCGTGTAGTGTATATGTGTGGGTAGAATGAAAGAGCTAATTAAGCATAATTCCCTGAAATAGTTTTGCTTTATCTTCTTAAAAATAATAATTATATATGCATAAATATGTAATTTATATGTATAAACATGAGGCTTCCCAGGTGGCGCTAGTGGTCAAGAACCCATCTGTCAATGCAGCACACGTAAGAGATGCAGGTTTGGTTTTTTTTTAATTTATTTATTTTAATTGGAGGCTAATTACTTTACAGTATTGTAGTGGTTTTTGCCATACATTGACATGACTCAGCCATGGCTGTACATGTGCTCCCCATCCTGAACCCCCCTCCCACCTCCCTCCCCATCCCCTCCCTCAGGGTCATCCCAGTGCACCAGCCCCGAGCACCCTGTCTCATGCATCAAACCTGGACTGGTGATCCATTTCACATATGATAATATACATGTTTCAATGCTACCCTCTCAGATCATCCCACCCTCGCCTTCTCCCACAGAGTCCACAAGACTGTTCTATATATCTGTGTCTCTTTTGCTGTTTCACATATAGGGTTATCATTATCATCTTTCTAAATTCCATACATATGCATTAGTATACTGTATTGGTGTTTTTCTTTCTGACTTACCTCACTCTGTATAATATGCTCCAGTTTCATCCACCTCATTAAGAGATGCAGGTTTAATCCCTGGATATGGAAGATCCCCTCAAGGAGAACATGGCAACCTACTCCAGTATTCTTGCCTACAGAAGCCCATGAACAGAGGAGCCTGGCGGGCTACAGTCCATAGAGGCAGAAAGAGTTGGACCCAACTGAAGCGGTTTAGCAGGCATGCATATATATAAACATACCTATAAGTATTTTCCTCTTACAGGAACAAAACATATTTGACATGTTTGCTGTAAAAAAAAAAAAAAAAAAAAGGAACATACTGAAAAGTAAAGAGAACAAAATTAAAATCATGTAGTTTTCTACTACCCAGAATTAATCACTTACATTTTTTATATATTTCCTTCTAGAACTTTTTCCATGAAGGTAGGAATTCATTTCAGGCTTCGCTGGTAGCTCAGCTGGTAAAGAATCTGCCTGCAATGCAGGAGACCCTGGTTCAATTCTTGGGTCGGGACGACCCCTTGGAGAAGGGATAGGCTACCCACTCTAGTATTCTTGGGCTTCCCTGGTGGTTCAGATGGTAAAGAATCTGCCTGCAATGCAGGAGACCTGGGTTCGACCCCTGGGTTAGGAAGATCCCCTGGAGGATAGCATGGCAACCCACTCCAGTATTCTGGCCTGGAGAATCCCATGGACAGAGGAGCCTGGTGGGCTACAGTCCATGGGGTCCCAAAGACATGACTGAGCAATTAAGCACACCACAGGAATTCATTTCAATACTGGGGGTGGGGATGGGAGTGGGGGTGGGGATGGGGGTGGGGGGCTGGTATGGTTTCTGCAATTTAGTGTCTTTTGGTTTTCATTTAGATCCCATGGCATAAGCATTTTCCCACATTATTATGACACACTCACAAACTCCATTGTAATGACTGCTTAAGAGTTCACTCTGTGCCATAATTTTTTTAACCACTTCTTAATTGTTGGATGTTTATAAATGACACTGGGGAAGAACATTCTTGAACAAGAGCCTTTGCCCGCATTTCAGATAATTTTTTTAGAACAAATTCCTAGAAGTGGAGGGCAGGGACATTTTTAAGGCTCTCCGTACTTTCTGCCAAGCAGCTTTCCAGAAACATGTACCAATTACACCCCTACCAGCTACATGAGAGAAGAGCCTTTTGATTCTGCCAAGGCAGCAGCACCTCGGGCTGGGGGAGGGCACTGTTCCACCAGAGGCCTCTCTGCAGTCCGAACAATGGGCCCCTTGTCCCGCCCCCATCTCCTCTTCCCGCACTGCCCTCCATCCCCGGCTCCAGGCTTGTCTGTCTGCAAGGCCTCTGTTCAGTCCAGTCCAGCCTTGGCGCTCCAGGCTGCTGCCTCCAAGAGCAGGGTGGGTAGAGCTAAAGGTGAGAGGAGAGCCTGTCCCGTGGGGCCACCATCCTTCCAGCCCCAGAGAGACCCCCAGGAGAAGTGAGGGCAGGGGTGTGTAAGGGTTGCTAAGTCATCTGCCTCTGCAGAACAAGCCCACCCAAGCCCCTGATAGGGATCTGCACATGACAGGGGAAAGGAGAGGCCAGCCCCAGTGACAAAGGCCACAGGGGCCTCTGGCTAGCTTGGGAACGACTTCTATTTCCCTGCAGATTCTGAAGCCCCTCCATGAATCCTCGGAAGAAGGTGGACCTCAAGCTCATCATCATTGGAGCCCTGGGGTAAGCCAAGCTCAGCTCGGGGCCTGGGGGCTGGGAAGCAGCCTCTCCCAAGGACAGTGAGACATCCAGGATGTGCTGCCCACTTCCAAGGGTCCCCTTCTGATTCAGGGTGGCACCAGGGAGGGTGTTCCACCCCAAGGAAGGGAGCCGAGGTAGGAGAAACAGGCTGGGAGTCAGACTACCTGGTCTCTGACCCCAGCTCTGTGGCAAGGCCACAGTAACCAGATGTGTGAACTAGGCAAACCATTTGGCATGTCTGCCTTCCTCCATCTCACCACATACAGGAAAGGTCTGGCCGTTTTGCTGGGAGGCACTCAGCTCTCTACAAACTTCTCTGCTCACTTTGGTCCCTATTTCTAGAGTCCATTCCCTAGTCCCTTGCTACTCAAACTGCAAATGTTAGAAATTCAGAGTCTCAGAGAGAGATGCTGGTGAGAGGGGCAAGATGCTGAGAATGGTATGGGGGGTGTGTGTTCACATGTCCTGGTTTTTTCTCTCAGTGTTGGAAAGACCTCCCTCCTCCACCGATATGTGCATAAGACGTTTTACGAAGACTATCAGACCACACTGGGGGCCAGCATCCTCTCCAAGATTATCATACTGGATGACACAACCTTGAAGCTACAGGTGGGCAACCCTCCCATCCCCTCTTCAACTACATGCCTGAAAGTCACCCCACAGTTCCCGGACAGGTGCTCACACAGCAATGTGCACCCAGAAATAGAATGGAGCATAGGTCAGCAAACTTCAACTCGTGGACCAAATCTGGTCCTCCATCTGCTTTTGAAAATAAAGTTTTAATGGAACACAGTCCTGCCATTTGTCTCCTCGTGACCTGATGGCTGCTGTCACACTACATCAGCAGGATTGAGCAGCAGCAACAGACAGTACTGTCTGCAAAGCCTGTTATTCAGGAGTACTTTCACATCTGACCTGGGAGAAAATGAGGGCTCAGATGTGAAAGTACTCTTAAAAGTGTTAGTTGCTCAGTCGTGTCTGACTCTTTGCAACCCCATGGACTGTAACCCGCCAGGCTCCTTTGTCTGTTGGATTCTCCAGGCCAGAATACTAGAGTGGGTAGCCATTCCCTTCTCCAGGGGATCTTCCAGACCCAGGAATCAAACGTGGGTCTCCTGCATTACAGGCAGATTCTTTACCGTCTGAGCCACAGGGAAGCTAAACATTAGTGCAGATTCTGTAGTGTACATGAATGACAGAGAGTCATGTCCGTGTATGGAAGGACTGCATGCACCTTTACCAGGGCTGTCTGCCCCCTACCCAAAAAGGAAGCTTTGACATGAGGTGGCCTGGTTGAATGTCCCTTCAGCCACTCATCACAGCCCCATGGGGCCACTGCTCTTTCCCTTCCAGATCTGGGACACAGGTGGCCAGGAGCGATTCCGCTCCATGGTGTCTACATTCTACAAAGGCTCTGATGGCTGTGTCCTGGCTTTTGATGTCACTGACCTGGAGTCCTTCGAAGCCCTGGAAACCTGGCGGGGTGATGTTCTGGCCAAAACCATTCCAATGGAGCAGTCCTACCCCATGGTGGTGCTTGGGAACAAGATAGATCTGGCAGACCGGCAGGTACCGTCAGCTCATTCATCCACTCACCAAACACGTGAGGACCAGTTACATGCCAAGCACTGGGCTAAGTCCCACACATACAGAGCTGAAGCGGGCATAGTCCTTACCTTAAGAATTTCACAGTCTAGTAATGGATGCATTTTAAGGATAATTATGATGCAATAAGGTAAATCATGAGCAGTCATAGAGAACACCTTGGGGACCACAGTGAAAGGGCATTTATCTAGTCAACCCAGGGTATAGCAAGGGCTTCCTAGAGGAAGTGGTTCCAGGCTAAAGAAACAGCATGAGCAAAGGTAAGAAATAGCATCATGATATGAGCTGAGAACTGGAGGCAATTTTGTCTAGAGACAGGGAATGGAAGAATGAAGGCCTAAGAAGTAGGCAGGTGGGATTTGAATTAACCTGTAGAATAGTATTTCTTTTTTTTTTTTTTTTTGGTAGAATATTAGTTCTACCCAAGATCAGATAGGGAGTCTGTAGTTATGAATCCTTGAATCTTCAAATACTCTGAGAAAGTAGTAATATGTGTTTTATTAGCTTAAGCATACTCTACATCATCTGGCTAACCACTTGACAAATGATCTGCTTTCTCCATGACTGCAGTGACCACACTTATGTAGGTATTTACTTATTGCAGTGGCATTGAGTCAAGCTCTGTTCATCATTGCCTCCTAATAAGAAAAGAGTAAAAGTAAACTTAATTTATAAGACTGTCTTGAGCCAAACAAAACCCAAAAGACACCACAAAGAGTGTTTGAACAAGTTGTCTTACTGTTTCAAATAGAGAAAATAAGTGGGGAACTGAGTCATCATATTTGAACCACACTTTCAAAAGGGTTCAGATAAAAAGTGATAGAACTGAGGCATCATTTGGAAAGATGAAGGGTGGATGGTGAGTGAGGGTGCTTCCAGCTAAGCCTCCTGTTTGGAGAGAAAGATGAGTTTGGATTTGACATGCTAAGTTTGAGGAGCTTGTAGAACAACTGATTGGGGATGACTAGTAGACTTTAGAACACATAAGAATGAAACTTCAAAGGAGAAGTCTGTGTTGGAAATAGAAATCTGGAAGTCATTAATTCTCTGGTCACTTCAGGTTGCAAATTTAGTGTCAAGTTGCAAATTTAGTGTCAATTCTCTAATTACAAATCCTCAATCTCAAATAAGAGTCAAAGTCCCAAGTTCATTCACAGCCAAGCAGTCTCGAATATTCACACTGGGGCCAGCAGCAGGTGAGAACACGGGGGCCTAGGAAGCATATCCCATTGCCAACTTTACATGTCCACATGTCCTCCCTTCTCAGGATAATTCTGGTTCCAGGCTCTGTTAGGAGTGAAGCAGAAAGAGGGAGAAGTGGTCAGAAGGGCAGGAAAATCTTTATTTGACTGGTACTGTCTTGAGATAGTTTGTGCGCTCCAGCAGATATGTCAAGCTGTCTCTTGGTGAGTGACTCCTTTGGGTCCTAAGAAGCCTCCAGTGGAACATTTAAAAGTACCTCCCATGACAAAGGTCTTGCATATTCTTCCTCTCTCTCCTCAGTTCCTAATTTAGGAGTTTAAGAGCCATCCTCCATCCTACAGTTCCACTTCTCCTGCGGATGCACTCCTGACAGGGTTTATAACAGCTCCAGGCTGGCGAGCTCTTCGGGGCGCCCACCTCTCCTTCTCAGGGCACAGCGGTGCATGCTGGCTGCACTGACGAGCCTGGGGTAATTCGTTCTCAGGGCACCATCCGCTCTCTGCCCTGATGCCTTCCACCTTAAATCCCGGGGGTGCAGTTAGACAGCAGCCCACTGTAGCCACAGTCATGTGGCCTCCTTGAAGCCCTCTTTTGGTCAGAGTTGAAGCTTTATACGTTCTTCCTCTTGTGGGGGTGTTCCCCCAACACAGTTCTCTGCAAAAAATATCCTTTCTAAACCCTCCCTTTAAATCTTTTTCCATCCATGCCAGAGGGCTTAGAGTCATTCATCAGATTCTTGCTCATCAACCTTTGGAAATGTGCAGGGTCCTGTGGGTGGGCTGTCTCCCAGCCACCTTGGTATCCAGCATCTATCAGATGGTAGTATCTCTGCCACAACTTCCATTTTAGTATCTTGCTTCTATAGGTCGTGGGGTGGGAGGTCAGGGGTGTTCAAGACTGAGGGTCTGACTTTCCCTCAGTGAAATAAGAGGCCTCATCTTCTGTTGAGAGGGAGGAGGAAGGGAGGCAAGGAGTCTTAAGAATCATGGTGAGGCTGTGCCACGTACTCTGGAGAGAAACAGGTGAAGGAGTTGGCCAAGGACGAAGTCCAGAACTGACGGTGGACCGCAAGGGCCCCCCTGAGGGAGGAGACCAGGAGACCAGCTGAGCGGAGTCGGAGTTGTGGTTCTCTTCAACAAGGCTTTTCCAGATAAGAGCAGCTGAAGAACAGAGCCGTGAGGCCACTGATACCCGTGGAGGGAAGATGAGAGACCAGGAGAGGCTGAAGAGCCAGGGCAGTGTCAGAGGTTGCAGAGCAGGGCAAACGGAGGAAGGGGAAAGGAGGCCAGGTGTAAAGGTTCATGGAGGCCCTGGGCTGGGCCTGGAGGGCAGGCGGAATGGGGAGGAGGTGTGAGGCTCAGGGCTGCGTGGAAAGGAAGCTTCACCAGATCACAAGCGTCCAAGGAATGACGGTACCCGGATGGGAGGCGTAAGTGATGACTCAGAGGGGTAGAGGCATCCTATTCCAGCTGCGGGGGCATGAGCTTTGTTCTGCAGAGAGAGGAAGAATAAAGGTTTGAAAGAAGCAGTGAAGCCCCAGGCAAGCCCAACTCTGTCTCTGGGATCTGTGCTGAACAGGGTGTGGAAGGAGCTCCCCCACCCCCCAACTGGAGAAGGCGACAGTATTTGGAGGGGGGCCAAGCCGGAGGAAGAGAGGTGAGGAAGTGCTCACAGGCATGAAACGAGCACAGCAAAGTGCAGAGGAGGAACTGGGAGTGGGGCGCGCAGAGGGACTTTGATCCAGAGACCCAGGATGGGGAGCCAGAGGTGAGGCTGGGAGGTGGCCACCCTCCAAGGGCACAGACCGGGCAGAGGATGCCGCCAACCCTGAGAGGTGAAGCCCGGGCTTGGGGAGCGGGCTGCAGACAGTCCTCACTTGCACAGGGTTGAGTGGATAAGGAGCACCTTCTCTGAGCTCAAATTCATGTGTGTCTTTGGCCAGTTTCAGTTTCTTTGTGAAACGGACACCATACTCAGATTTCATGAGGTTATCTGAGGCTCATAGGCAATGATGCCTATAAAGCACATGGCAATCTTAATACATGAAACAGATTGTTACCCACCTTCTTAATTTCATATCTCCAATGTGTGGGCTGGGAATATAGGGAAGTTCTTCCTACTTAACAAAAAGAAAATGAATATTTAAAACGTAGATGCTAGATGTGGCATGATGAAGTGTTAGTCGCTCAGTCATGTCCAACTCTTTGCAACCCCATGGACTGTGACCCCATGGACTGTATCCTGCCAAGCTCCTCTGTCCATGGGGTTCTCCAGGCGAGAATACTGGAGTGAGTTGCCATTCCTTTCTCCAGGGGATCTTTCCCACCCAGGGATTGAACCTACGTCTCCTGCACTGCAGGCAGATTCTTTACTGACTGAGCTAGGGAAATGAATATTGATGATGGTTGCACAGTGATGTAAATGTATTGATGCCACTGAACTAGATGCTTCAGTATAGTCAGAATGATATATTTTATATTTATATATAAATATGCATTATATATATAATATATATAATTACATTAAATATATAATTATATAAATATATTATACTTATATAAAATCTAGATTTTACATTTATATATTATATATATTTATATTTTATATTTATGTATATTTTACCACAATCAGTCAATCAATATCTCACCAGGATAGTTGTAAAGAAATTGCCGACTTAGGTTTTTCTTAAAGTATCTACCTGTTTTACAGAGATAAAAGTGAAAAAAAAAATTGTTAAAAAAACCCAACTCTGCTAGCATCTATGCTATGAGGAATTTATTCACTAGGATATAAATTCTTTGCTCTCAGGTAGGCAGTTTCTGATTTACTGCTGATCCATAACATTGGGATTATGTTTTCTGAAGATATTGTTATTTTTTATTGGTTTAAGATGTATCTGACCTATCTCAAGACATACAATTGATCATTTTAGATGCATATGAGATGGGAAAGCATCATAAATAAACGTCTGCAAAATGGACTAATTTTGTCAAACATTTGACTGCTGATGAAAAGTAAAATGTTAATAGTATGTGCATGCTAAGTCACCTCAGTTATGTTCTACTCTTTGTGACCCTACAGACTGCAGCCCACCAGGCTCCTCTGTTCATGGGATTCTCCAGGCAAGAATACTAGAGTGGGTCATCATGCCCTCCTCGGGATCTTTCGGACCCAGGGATCAGTCCCACATCTCTCATGTTTCCTGCTTTTGGCAGTTGGGTTCTTTACCAGTAGCACCACCTGGGAAGCCCGTTAAGAATATATTGTCATGGACAGAGGAGCCTGGTGGGCTACAGCCCATAGAGCAGCAAAGAGTCAGACCCCTGACTGAAGCAACTTAGTATGGAGACACATCAGCCAAAACAAAAATCAACGGAAGTAACGCTTCCAAAGTTTTCACCCTTCCCATGTCTCCATGTACCACAACCTGAGTTTATGTCTGCAGGCAGAGTCTAAGTTATATATAACTGTTATTTTATAAATAAAAGACAACACGATTTTAAAAATCATGAGGCTGATGCTAGAATTGGAAAGGAAAACTGAAAAGTGCCTTGTGGGTCATTTTTCACCCCGTGGCGACTCTCTGAGGTTGACTGGAAGAGGTGAGGGGATTATAAAAAGAACCTTAATTTGCAACACAATCTCAACTGATATTCTGGAGTATGTATTGAACCACTCCGTAAAAGCTGGACAGAGAATGAGTGGGGAGAAATGAGATAAATGTCTATCACGCCAGGCAGCGGGCAGGGTCGGTCACTGTCCGTGGCAGAGAAGGGGCTGTACCGGTGCACCAGCAGGCTGTGTGTATGGGCTTATCTTCCTAGCTCTGTCTCTGGGTGAACTTGGGCACCAGTCTGGGCTTCTGCTTCTCACGCCATGAGATAGGAAGAAGCTCCCTGCCTCCTGGAGAAGCAGAAGCACCTGAGTTCATTTCAATTCGCTTCCACGTTTACTGCAACTCCTAAGGACCAACTGTGAGGCCAGAAAGATGCTCGTCACCTGGCGGGGCGGGGGAGGAGTAGGATATAAAGCAGGAGGGAACAACAAGAAGAGTAAGTCCAGTCCTTGCCCCAAAGTCTTTTCAAGGACTTTAAAAGATACAAAGCCCTTTGCATTCCTAAGATGCCATCAACGGATCACAACAGGTTCATTTCTAATGATCAGTTATGTGTGTGTTACCAGTGAGGACAATGATAATCAGCAACCTGGCTGTCCTTGACACTTCATCCACAGTTCAGGATTTTGCCCAAGCTGTGAGGCTTCTTGGCTGTTCTCTGGGTCAGGGGCACTTATGCTCCAGGGGAGGGGGCTGTCCTGGCCGGCTGGAGAGCCCCTCGCACCACGAGGCAGGAGGACCTTAGAGACCAGAGGCCAAGACCAGCGCCTGGGGCCGCTCCCTGCTCTGCTCCAGCGCAGCAGCTCCCGGAAGGCTGGGGAAGGAAGCCCCAGAGGGCAGGCTGCTCAGCTGACCCCAGTGCCTGGGCCACTCCTGAGGCCAGGACAGCAAGCACCAAAGAGACAGGCAACAGTGGAGCTCCTTTAACCCCAGGAAGACAGACTTTCCAGAACCTGCAGGAGACAAATGATAGTCTCAGATCTCCCCCTGGCTGCCCTGTGTTTAGAAAAAGGAGCCAAGTCACTCTTTGTCATGAAAAAACCTTGGCTCCCTTAAACAAAGTGAAATAATGGTCATAAAGTACCAGGCACAGCAAATATCACCGTGTGGTCATTCCCTATTCCCCGAATAACTGATTAGGCTAAACTCAGCAGAGCCAAAGGTCTTTGGAAGGAACCTGCAGAGCTGCCAGGGCCTTCAAGCCAACGTCCTCAAACTGTGAGTGGCTTTTGCGTTCGGGTAGAGGTGTATTCGTTCAGCCTGTAGAGAGTGGCTTGTGGGGCCAGGCCAAGAGCTAAAAAGTCCTGACTCTGAGCTTGTGGCCCAGACAGTATAGAGTCTGCCTGCAGTGCAGGAGATCTGGGTTCGATCCCTGGGTCGGGAAGATCCCCTGGAGAAGGAAATGGCAACCCACTCCAGTATTCTTACCTGGAGAATCCCATGGACAGAGGAGCCTGGCGGGCTATAGTCCATGGGGTCGCAGAGCGTTGGACACAACTGAGCGACTTCACTTTCACTTTCTTTGTTTCTTTCTGAGCTCAGGAAAGCTAGAGTCCAGTGGGAGAGACAGAACAGAAGCACAGTTCCTGCGCAGGGCTGGGCAGAGGGCAGTGCAGATGCCGTGGGAGCGCGGGGCTGGGGCTGCCTCCGATGTCTGCCTTTCTTAGCTGTGTCATCTGAGGCAAGCTGCTGAAACTCTGAGCCTCAGGGGTCTTACCTATAAGTGAGTGAAAGTTGCTCAGGCGTGTCCCACTCTTTGCAACCTCATGGACTATACAGTCCATGGAATTCTCCAGGCCAGAATACTGGGGTGGGTAGCCTTTCCCTTCTCCAGGGAATCCTAACCTAGGTATTGAACCCAGGTCTCCCGCATTGCAGGCAGATTCTTTACCAGCTGAGCCACAAGGGAAGCCCAAGAATCTTTCTGACGCAGGGATCGAACTGGGGTATCCTGCACTGCAGGCGGAGTCTTTACCAACTGAGCTATCAGGGAAGCCCTCTCACCTATAAAGTGCAGCTAAGAAGACCCACCTCACAAGGCTGTTAGAGGATTAAGTAAGTCAATGTGATCAGACGTCTAACCCAGCATGTGGTCCAGAGTAGAAGCTCATCAGCCGCTCCCAGGACTTCCCCTGGGAGAGAAGGGTTAGTAGGGACCCGAGCCTGTGCCCAGCAGCATGGGCCTGATAAGCCAGCTCAGGAGAATGGGGTTCTCCCCCTCAGGCCATGGCTGGTGTCTGTTGCACCCCCCTGCCTTTGCAGGCACTGAGGAATGAGCTGGTGGCAAGAAGCCGCTCCCAGTGTAGGCCTTAGGAAGATGCTATAGTGCAGGGGGCTTTAGTTCTTCCAGGCCTGTGTTCAAATCCTGCTCAGCCCTCCACGTGCCAGTCCTCAGCCTCATGTGTGAAACGCAGCTAACGAGAGCCACCTCACTGGCTCACGTTAAAAAAAAAAGAATAGCACATGTAAGCTTACAGCCGCATGGAAGGTTCTCAGTATATAGGAGTGGCAGTGGGGAAGGCGGGGCTTGGATGGTGGTGATGATCGTGGTGGGGATGTGATGATGGCAGGGATGATGGTGACGATGATACAGGAATGGTGGTCATTTCTTCCCCTCGTGCAGGTTCCGCAAGAGGTAGCCCAAGGCTGGTGTAAAGAGAAGGATATTCCCTATTTTGAAGTCAGTGCCAAGAATGACATCAACGTGGTACAAGCCTTCGAGATGCTGGCCAGTCGGGCTCTGTCAAGGGTGAGTGGCACATGCCAGGGCTGCCCCCTAGGATGGGTGGGCTCAGAAGCATCTAGAAAAGTACCTGGTGGGCACAGGGAGAGATGCGGCTGGGACAGGACTGCTCGTGATCTTCATCAGTTGCTGAATGAGCTCAACAGTACTCTAATTCTGGAACCACAGAATACCAGAGGCATAAAGCTTCCTTAGCTTTGTGGGGGGTTCATCATTGGTGAGTTTCTATAAAATACAGTCCTGTACCTCACCCCCGGAGATTCGAATTTAGTAAGAGTCTGAGAAGTGATCTAGTTCAGTCCTCACTGATGGGAGAGCAGCCCCGTGGCATTAAGTATTGGTCCAGGAGGAATAATCAAGCCTGGAGAATTTGCCGACATTGTCCAATCAAGACGATGGATAGATGTAGACCCCTTGGTGTGGCCTTGCAATGAGCAGGTCTTGAGTGAGCCACTGGCGCTGGGCACCGTGCGGGCCCCAGGGCCCCTCACTCTCGTAGGAAGACAGGTCCACACGGGAGCGGCTGCAGCGCAGGCTTTGCACGGTGGGCAAGGACGGGTGGGGGGCCCAGAGCGGGGCACAGAGCCCGCACTGCGGAAGGGAGGCGGGAGAAGGAGAGGAAGCTCAGGGCAGGCTGCCCGGCAGCATTAGCAGGGTTTCAATGCCATTCTGTGTGGAGTCTGGAAACCGTGAAGAGGGTCCATGAGAGACTGGCATTGGGAGGAGCTCAGCCCATTTCACTGTTCTGCCACATCCAGCCAAGGTGGGCTTCTTAGAAGCAGGGAGAAGGCCATCACGGCAGAGATTTTTAAATGAGGAAAAGAGCAGATGAGGACAGGCGACTGGAGGGCTGCCCTCTGTGGAGAAGCCCGCTGTCACCGGTCTGCCTGGCACTGCCCACCGTTGAGAGGGTTCACGCTTGCCATCTTCATACCCCATTGCCTTACCTTAGAGTTTGTCCTCGCGGGCTATTCTTAATACATCCCCTCCAGGCCACCCACCCTTACCGTCTCCTTAGTGGGAAGCAGGGGCTGGCCATCTCCAGCACCCAGTCAAGTGCAGCTCTGTCACCCAGTCGGTAGTACAGACGCGCCTGCTCAGGCCATTCCCTGGAAGGCGCGGGGAGCTGTTGGACCTTGGAGGGTGACGCGTGCTCAGCGATCCACCACAAACGCGGTGCCGTGATCACCGAATGCTTACTCACGGGGAAGCTCCAGCAGCTCCACCAGCCAGGGTCTGTGTGTGGTCAGCACCTGTCCTTCCTGGGGAAGGCACGTCCTTCATTCCTGAAGCCATGTCCCTCCTGCTGTGTCTCCGTCATGATGCAGAGGTGTTGTAGGTGGTAGATTGTCTTGTTTTCCTTTTTTTCCCAATGGCCTCACTTGTCAAAAGAACGGATTGGCAACCCCGTGTCAGTCCCTCATGATGATGGAGGAAATTTATGACGAGAAGTCTAGAGGTCACAGGTGTGATATCCACAGTCAGATTGACCTTGGTTGGATCCTGGCCTCATGTTTCAGGTGGACTCCTGGGCAAGATATATGACTTCTCTGAGTCTCAGTTTCCTCATCTATAAAATAGAAATAATTCCATCCCATACAAATTCTTGCAATGTCAGGCTAGGGCTAGAGATGTAGACCTCATGGCCTGTGGTCAGGTAGAGAATTAAGGCATCCAGAATAGATGGTCAGGGGGTGAGGAAAGTGCCATGGGGAGGCTTGGCCAAGGCATCAACATGACCGAGAGGTGCTGGTGGCAAGGCCGGTAAGGATGCCTACCCAGAGAAGGGGCCTTTCTTGGATGTTGAAAGGTTTGCAGGTGGACGGCTAGGCTACTGAGGGTGTGAGCAGCAGCTGCAGAAGGGCAGAGAGAAGGACGTGACAGAGGTCCAGGTATGAGTCCACGGGGCTCATGTGAGGGACCACCATGGGCTCCATCTGAACAAGGGGGAAATGTGGCCTGGAGGGAACTGGAGGCGCTAGGCCAAGGTGAGCAGCGAGGCTCTCAAGGTCAACAGCAGCAGACCTGACTGCATACGATAGGCCCCTCGTCTCTAGACCCACTGCCAGACCCCTGGGCCACACAGGGGCCCACCTGGGGCCTGGAAGCCAGCAGAGTGTGTCCTCCGGCCATGTCTCTATTATTGAGAAATTTGGAGGAGAAACGTTTTGCACTAAAACAAACACACGTGCTAGGACACAGAATGTAAAAACACATGTGGCTTTTTGAGGTGAAGCTGGAGTTTGCAAATCTATGTTTTAAGGTCAAAGAAGAGTTTTCATGGACACATTTCCTCCAAGGACCTGTCCCTCATTCCCACGTGCTCATTCACAGCAGCCCAGATACTTGGGGAGGAGGATGTGAGGGTCACTGCTAGAATACGGAGGGAGCCCAGCCTGGGGAGGGAAGAGATGGGCTCTGAGGTCAGCGGATCTGGCTTTAAATCCTGCCTCTTACTCGCCACATCCTTGACAAGTCATGTGCCTCCCTAAGCCATCGCTTCCCTCCCTTTACGAACAAGTAACAGTATCTTCCTCACGGGGTTGTTGCCAGGGCTAGATAAAATAGCATGGTAGTACAGAGGAGGCTGTAAATAAAAGGGAGCTATTTTTATTTGTTTTGGCTGCACTGGGTCTTCGTTGTGGCACCTGAATTCAGTAGATGTAGCACATGGCTTAGCTGCCCCGAGGCATGTGGCTCTCAGGTCAAACCTGCATTCTTAATCACTGGGCCACCAGCAAAGTCCCTGAAAGGTAGCTATTTTTAAAGGAAAGCGCAGGGAAGTTTCATGCTGCAGGGAAGATAAGCTTGATGGGTGGTTCTGAAGGTACAGGCAGGAGAGGATGGGGATGGCAAGGAGGGGGTGGATTAAAGAGACTTTGGAGGGAGAACTATTGATGGTTGATGATGATCAAATAGAGGAGAGAAGGAATCAGGAGCTGCTGAGGTTGATGACGAGGTTTCTGGCTTGCTAAATGGAGGAATGATTGAACAGTGATGCTATCGACCAAGATAGAAAAGAGAGGAGGGAGAGCAGAAGCCTTACAAGAGGAGGGACAATGTGGTCCACTGGGGCACATGGCATTCAAGCTTCCTTGGGATGCTTGAGTTCTGCAGTGAGCTCTGGATGGAAGGAGCGATTTACAGGCAGAAAACCAGAAGAGGTGCTCAGCTTGCATTCTGAAAGGAGAGAAGGCAGTTATTTTAGTGTCCCTATCTGGCCACTTTGAAGGATCAGTATTTACGTATTCATGGTTAAGAATGCCCTCATAGAATAGCATTGAAACATGTATATTATCATATGTGAAACAGATCGCCAGTCCAGGTTCGATGCATGAGACAGGGTGCGCAGGGCTGGTGCCCTGGGATGACCCTGAGGGATGGGATGGGGAGGGAGGTGGGAGGGGGGTCAGGATGGGAAACACATGTACACCCATGGCTGATTCATGTCAATGTATGGCAAAAACCACTACAATATTGTAAAGCAATTAGCCTCCAATTAATTAATTAATTTTAAAGAAAGAATGCCCTCATAATCAAAGAAGGGAAACCCGCCCACTTTGGGGGATTTGGGCTGACGGGATTTTGCTCTTACCAAGTTGGCAATATCACCCCTGCTGGGCTGGTCAGGCCTGGCGTGGGCCGCAGCGCGGAGCCCAGTTCCTTTTGGGTTAATTAGAGAAAGACATAATTCCATGTCTGGGAGAAGGCAGGCTGACTAACAGCTAAGCTTAGTGAAATTACAGGACTTTTATAAGGTCCTTGGGGTGCAGGATGTAAAGGCAGGGTCATGAGGTGACCAGGCTCAGAGAGACAAACTCGCAGCTGCATCCTCACTGAAACGATGTGTTAGGATTCCTGGTGTTATGTTACTCGGCATGCACAAACTTGCCAAGAGGACTGCGGTCCGAATTTCACAGGGAGCCTCACTATGGCCTGCCGGTGACTTGGAAGCTCTGTAGGAAACCCCAGGATTGAGCTGATGCTGTTACTGAGTGAAACGATGTCATAAACGAAAAGCGCTCCGCACTGACCTGACCCTGGGAGGATGTGACTATTCCCGGGTGAAGAGAGTGGCCTGAAGACCTCAGCCTTTACCTGTGTAACAGAGGCGTGTGATCCTCACATCTTCTGAAGCAGCATTCTGTTTGTTCCGCAAAGCGCAGAGAGCTCAGAAAGCGCGCAGCTGCTCCGGCAGCTCAGACTCTCCTCCCAAAGGCTGGCATTGAGGCCGAGGCCCAGGCTCTGCTCTTGGTCTCAACCGGGCCTGGATGTGAGGCTGGGGCACTCTCAGGGGTGGTGAAACAGCAGGCCCAGCCTCCTGGTCCAACGGGTCCAAGAAGAAATGTTCTGATTCCAGCCAAGGTGTCTTTGCTGTTCCTGGTGAGAGGGGGACTGACAAAGTACCAAAATAAGAGGCTCCTTTCAAAAGCCTGTCTTTCTGGAAGCAGTGGATCGGTCAGCTTAAAGTGGGGACTTAAACAGTAATGTCCAGCTCCTCCTTGCCCCTCCCCGTGAGGCTCAGAAGAGTCAGGCTTTTAACCTCAGTCAGCTCAGTGGAGCACGCAGGCCCTGCAGAAGGGGCTGACTGCAGGACGAGGCAGTGTCCCGAGCCGTGCAGACCCCAGCCCGCACACCAGGCCTCGGCGGTGCTGGGAGAAGGAGCTTCTCAGGCCATTTTCTCTACTTGGGCACCTCTGGGTAGGAGTCTGCTCTCTCGGGGTGAGGAAATCTGGGGTGTGCCATGCTGGGTCTACAAGCAGTGGGCTAGGATCCTCCCCAGCAGAGAGGGATACGGGGCTGGGGTGTGGAGACATCCCTGGAGGGACAGACTTTCATTGGGAGAAGCTGGCCCCCACTCCCCAAAACTAATATATAAAACAGGGCTTCCCAGGTGGTGCTAGTGCTAAAGAACCCACATGCCAGTGCATGAGATGTAAGAGACGTGGGTTCCATCCCTAGGTCAAGAAGATTCTCTGGAGGAGGGCATGGCAACCCACTCCAGTATTCTTGCCTGGAGAATACGTGGACAGAGAAGCCTAGCAGGCTACAGTCCATGGGGTCACAAAGAGTTGGACACAATTGAAGGGACTTAGCATGCATGCATACATATATGACAAATAAAATTCTAATATCCCTAAAGAATTTGCTGAGGGCTACTCCAGGCCCTCATCCATGCGGGCAGCTGTGCTCTGCTGGCCGGGACACCCTACCAGGGAGCAGCTGAGAGATGGGGGCTCTGCAAGAAGCAAACGTGAAGAAGGGCTGGGTCCCAGGCCCGGTGCCCTGAGCTCTGGGCCGTCAGGCTGAACTACTGCCTAGCCTGGGGGTGGCAGCAAGCGGCAGGGCATCAGAGGACCTTCTCGTGCATCTTGGGGGCCACCCTCATGAGGCTGAATCAGCCTCCTGGGATCCACAGTCATGGGCACTAAGAATTTGGTTGACATTTTCCAGCTGGGACCCAGAGAGGAAGTAAAGGCACAGGCGTCATTCTGGAAATCGTCCCCTCGGAGGGGCACTTGAGACAGACAGCCCTTGGAGGGGGCGGGTTCCCAGCTCAGGTCCACACCGGCATATCCGCTCACTCACTCACCACCACACACACAACACCTGCCGTGGGAGGAGCGTGAGGGCTGGGAGCTCAAAGATGGGGGAGCGTGAGCAGCGAAAGAGACAGGATCCCTCTAAGAAGAGGCCCAGCTCCTCAAGGGAGGACGGCCTCCCCGCCTCCCCCCTGCACCAAGCAGGCTGGCTCATGGCTGAGGAGCGGCCAGCCGGGCAGGGAGAGGCATGTCAGACTGACCGCAGGCTTCCTCTGGACCTTGTCGGGACAGGAAACTTTGGGAGGGTGGGCAGAGAAACAAAGAGGCCCAGAAGAAACATTGAGTCTGTTTTGGGGAGGGCTCCCTGGACGCGGGAGGGACAGGATGAGGGGAGGTTGGGAGCTGGACACAGAGAAGGTTGGGTTTGGGGACGTCCGCAGGGACATCTTCTGCAGACAGGAGCAGCAGGCTGTCATCATCTCTGCCCGAGGTCAGACGTCCGTCCCCTCGGCTGTCCTCTCTGGAGAATGGTGAGTGAGGGGACCCGGCTGGGGGTCAGGAGACATGGGCCGCTCAAGCAGCCGCCTGCCTGCTCTGGGCTCCGGGGAAGGAGCTGGAGAAGGCGGTGAGGCAGGAGCCGGCGGGGAAGACCTCTCCAGGGCCTCCCAGCTGCACAAGGCGAGGGAACGGAAAGCCCGACCGCCACCGGCCTTTGAGAAATAGGGGGCAGTGGGAGCCCGGCCGGCCGGGAGGCGAACGCTGATGCCTCTTTTCCTTCCGCAGTATCGAAGCATCTTAGAGAGTTACCTCACAGACTCCATCAAGCTCTCACCGGAAGACCAGCCCAAGAGCAGATGCTGCTGACCCTCCGGACCCCGGCTCTGCGCGCCCACGGACGGAGCTCAGCCCCGCCGGCCACCCTCGCTCAGACGGCAGCCAGGCTCCGAGGCTGGCAGCGGCCCTCGCCTCCGCGCGGGCTCCAGACCAGCCCCTCCTTGGGCTCAGTGCAGTAGTCAGGGCGGAACCCGGGACAGCCCAGAGGAGTCACGGCCCCCTCGCTGGCCCCGGCTTTCCTGCCCTGCGCCCTCCCCAGACACCTCCTGCTCTGGAAGGCGCATCCCTGCACGCAGGCTGCTGCAACCTGAGGCGATGGACCCGCCTTCCTCAGCGCGCCCACCGCACCCCACCCCCTTAGAGCCGCCACACAGCTGTGGACCAGGGTCCCTGCAACCAGGGCCGGGGAGGCGGTCCCCCTCACCCCCTGGCAGCAGCTGTTCAGGCCTGGGACACCGTCTGTCTGTCCCCCCAGAGCGCAGGGCAGAGGGAAGGCAGGAAGACCCCCGGGACCGCGCATGTCTCCTTGCTGGCGCTCAGGCTGCTGCCTCAGCTGGTTGTCTGCCACACGAGGGTGGCACGTGCCCTGCCCACATCCCGTGGCTCCTCAGGACCAGAAGCTCGGCTTCAATCCCAGGCGCTCTTGTGGAGACACGCTGGCCATTCCTTCAACAAGTCCTTTTGTGTATTTACTATGTGTGATGCCTTGAGGTCCAGGGACGCGTGTAACAAAGACCTTGCTCTCCTGGGTCCGACGTTCTGGAGAGGGAGGGAGGCAGTAAACCCAGAATTTAACCAGATGTTTTCAATTAGCAGGTAAACGCTTGAACCAAGCAAGGTAATGGGAGAGAGAAGGACGGAGGGTGGGGTTAGGTGCTGTTTCAGATGTTTCAGACAAAGTAGCCCAGGAGGGCTTCCCTGGGGAAGTGACATTGGCCCAAAGGCTGGAAAATGAGAAAAGGGCTGCTGAACTGGAAGAAGAGCGTTCTGAGGACAAGTAGAAGCAAGGGTCAAGGCTCCAGACCAAGGACAAGCTTGTTTTGTTCCAGGGACAGTGAAAAGACACTGATTAACCTGAGAACTCAAAGCTGCTATTCCAGGGACAAGGTGGACCCCCCGCCCCCCCCAACCCCCGGAAGACGCCTTGCCTGCCGGCCACCAGAGGGCAGCAGCGCACCTCCCAGCAGAGCAGGAAAGGGAGGCTCCATGGACGCTGGAAGCGCCGCCGTTTTCCTCTGCTGAGATGCTCAGAGCTCATTCTTTGGCTCCGGGCATTTTCAGTCCTTCGAGATTCATCAGCCAGAAAGATCCCAATTTCTTAAGCCTACTGAGAGATGGGCAAAAACTGCAGCAGCAATGATTCAGGCAAGAAATCAGCATTGGTGATAAATACTGGAAAGCCGGGGAGTCTGTCCCTGCAGACGCTACAGTCAGAATCTTCTGTTTCTTCTGGTGACGGGCAGCGTTTACAGAGCCCAACCTGAAGGGAGTAGGCGAGATGACCGACCCCACCCCACCCCCATCGACCCCCCCCCCCACCCCGCGCAGGGTTTCCACGGCCACATCCGTGCCCACCACAGAAGTCTCCTGTCTACACAGAGGTACCCTTCCCTGAATGTTAGCGTAGGACTTCCAAGCGTCACCCGACATGAAGATTCGCCCAGAGGCAGAGGAAAGGGGAGGTGAAGGGTCAGTAAGAGTTTGGGGAACCCCTTCTGCCCACCCGGCTATCAAGTGATCGCTGCTTGCCCTGGGCCGCAGGAGCAGGCAGCCCAGCGCACAGCTCTGCGTCCTTCGTGGGGCGGCACCCTGCGAGCCATGCGGGCTCTCCTGGGAGGCAGTGGAACTGTGGACTGGATGCCACAGCTCATGCACTTCAATGGGTGTAGGGACCATTCTAAAAGTGCTCAACAGATAATAAATATTGTCTTTCTTAGTTTTAATCCTTTGTGGTATTTAGCTTTTAAAGTCGTTTTTTTTTTTTTTTTTTTTTTGCAGTATCTGCATAGTTAAAATTCAAAAGGTACTAAAAGGGAAGACAAAAGACAACAAAAAGCAAAATAGGACCATAATGGTCAGTGACCACTGCAAAATGAAAATGCCTTGTCCCTTCTCCAAAAATCATGACAAGTTCCAAGACGGCAATGCTGGACCATTAAAACAAGCATGGGGTCCTTCTGAGTGCAGGTACCACGTGCCTAGGAAGTCATGACTGAGTAAGCACGTGTTTTCAGGGCTCTCCAGAATGACAGACCCTGACCAGGCCCACCTGAGCTGCTAGGAGATAAAAGGTTCTGTCTTTGCAAAAGTCACGTGGAGATCCAACCCCAGGCCCAAACCACACATTCTGAGTCTTGTCCGGAGTCAGGGGCCAGGACCGAATGTTCACGTGGGGGTGGAAAGTAGGGTCCACGGCCCACAGCCTCGCTCCTGTCACAACCAGGGAACATGCTAGTGACCAGTCTCAAGATGGAACCGAGCTGAAACACTGTGGGCCGCTCCTCACCCCCTGCCCCACACCTGAGTCAGGCTGGCCTCAGTTCCCACCCTGCAGGGGCAGGTATCATTGGCAGAAACAGGCAAGCTGTGGGGGCTCTAACTCCAAGCCCAGGAGAGCCCACTAGAGCCTGCATGGAGGTGGGGCAGCAAGTCGCGGGGCCCTGCCCTCAGCATCCCTTCAGAGAGGGTACCCAGCCAACAAGACTGGGAGACCAGGCTGTTCCTGGACCCACCACAGCCCTGCTCCGAGGGGCAGCTGCAGGCTGCTAGTGAGTAATTGAGAGAATCCAGCCCAGGACTCTGGGCGGCACACACCCATAATGTGAAAGTGAAAGTCGCTCAGTTGTGTCCAACTCTTTGTGACCCCATAGACTATATAGTCCATGGAATTCTCCAGGCCAGAATACTGGAGTGGGTAGCCTTTCCCTTCTCCAGGGGATCTTGCCAACCCAGGGATCCAACCCAGGTCTCCTGCATTGCAGGAGTATTCTTTACCAGCTGAGCCACAAGGTAAGTTCAAGAATACTGGAGTGGGTAACCTTTCCCTTCTCCAGAGGATCTTCCTGACCCAGGAATCGAACCAGGGTCTCCTGCTTTGCAGGCGGATTCTTTACCAGCTGAGCCACAAGGGAAGTCTGCACATGCTCATGGGGCTTGGAAAAAAAGACAAATCTTATTGCCAAACAAGCTGGCTGGGCCCCACTGGGTGCCCCACTGCCCCCTCCACAGCCAGGGGCAGGTCCTGCTACCGGGTACCAGCAGGCAACCATGATGTGGTCCCGTTCCCAGTACCGCAGTCCAGGGGCATCCACACTGGCCACGACACCCAAGACCCACTGCCACACACAGCAGACCCAGCTGCGACTGGACCCGTGTGAGGCCAGACCTGCGGCGTGCATACCCGGAGGCGCCCCCTGAGGTGAAAGGGGGAAGCAGGGACAAGCATGGTGGGAAGTTTAGTTCCATTAGAGGGCAGTGGCCTGCACCGCCGTGCCAGGACCAGCGTGTGCCTGTGTGTGTGTGTGTGTGTGTGTGTTGTGTGCAGGGGGTGGGGAGCAAGGGATTAGAAGATCAGACAGTGGATTTCCCTTGCTGAAGTACAGACAGTCTAAATGAGCTCGTAGGCTTGGAGGGGAGCAAAAACCCACGGGAAGCGGTATTGGCAGTGTGGGGACAGAAACGCTGCTGAGAGCCTTCCTCACACCAGTGAAGCCCCAGAACAGCCCATGGGGGGAGGCCTTGGCCTGACTTTCAGAGGCTTCCCCACCTCCCCTCACATCCCACCTCATCCTTCTCTTGGAATCATTCCCTTCTCCCCTCATCCTCTGCTCCAGCAGGTCCAGCCAACCACATGCTTCACCTGGACCACTCTGTCCTCGCCTGGACCACACTGCCCTTGCCTGGAGCCCGCCACCTGCCCACTGATCCCTTTCCTGGCCGCTCCGCATGGCAGCCATTGCAGCAGCCTCCACAGAACAGTTCCTGGGATCTGCAATGCCGGCCCCCACCAGCCAGGGCCTGCTCGTCAGGGCTCAGCTCTGGCCACAGCCTCTCTCACAGCTGCAAACGAAGGACCTTCTCTCAGTCCCTAGATATGCCTCTCACCTCCCTGCCACATCTGGCAGGGGGATCTCTGTTGGAAGCACTGGTTTCTCTCTGGCCCTTCACCAATCTAATTCCTCCTTAGCTACTAGTTATCAGCTAAATCATTATCTTCTTCAGTAAGGATTCTCTGATCCCGAGACCAAGTGAGAGGCCCCACCGTGTACATCCTTGAGCCCCCTGTGAACACAGTGCCAGAACTTCAGCTCCACCAGGATGGAAGTGCCACAGGGTAGGCATTTTCATTGGTTTTATTCACCGTCTTCTCCCCCGTGCCCAGAACAATGCCTGCAAGTGGTTGGGGCTGCAGAAATAGTTTTGGAAGGAACAGCTCCTCCAGTATTTTATCATAGTTGTTTGTCCATTTGCCTAGACTGTAGTATCCCTGAAGGCAGGGCCTATTTTGATTAATCACTTTAACCCCAGCACTCAGCACGGAGACTGGTGCATAGGCATAGTAGATAAAAAATGTTGTGAAATATAGTAGAATTCTACACATGTATTTTTTTAATGACAATTGAATGGTTTATGTAATGACCTGAAACAGATATCTGAGATGCACTGTTACATTAAAAAGCAATGCAGAATCACAGGAATAATATGCTACACCTTCTATAACAGGAGACTCAAATAAGACTTTATGTTCATTTTTGCCTGTATATAAAGAAAACTCTAGGAGAATGCATGAGAAGTGGATAAAAGTGATTACCTTTCAGAGAGGGACTGGGCAAACACAAGCCAGGAGAGACAGCAAGACTCTTCTTTGTATAATTTTGCAATTCAAATTTTGAATTCTTTGAATGTATTGTATAATCAATAATTTAAAAGAAGGAAAATGAGTATTGGTGAAAAAAAAGAACAAAAGGGGGAGAAGCAAAACTCCAACCAGGATCTGCCTGCCTCCAATCAGTCACATCCTATGGCCTTGAATCCAAGGCTAACAAATGTAGAGAGTACACACTTAAGAAACCCTCCCAGTCCACATGCTCTGACTGAGATGCTGAGTCCTCTGGGATGTGGTGAGAGCTCCTCAGGTTCTCTTGGTTCTCCTGTGTCCTGGAGGAGGGTCCTCTTTACTGGGATGTTAGCTGCTGAGTGAGTGTTTCCAGTCTCAGAAACTCAGCTCTGGAGATAAACTGTCAAATCTCTGCACTGCTTTGTGAATTACCATGTAATGACTACACTTAGGAATTTCCCAAGGCTAATCTCAGGGCCTACCAGTTTGTCAACACCCTGGAACCCCCTTTCCTAACCAAAACATTGACCCCTAAGATGCTGCTCTAGCTTATAAGCTCAAAAGTAAACTGGTGCAATTACTTTTGGGCTATATTGAGTAAGCCACCACATATAGGCCCTCCAGTCCTACAGTTCTGCACCTGAACAGGCACAAACAACCCTTCCTGGTGCACCAGAGGATGC